AAACATAATGATAAAAAATGTTTATTGTAGTAAACGAAATAATAATTTGATCTAAGTAAGAGTTTTTTCCTTCCCGATTTGTAAAAAAAATCCTTACGTAATAGAAAAAAATATTATTATTTTTGGAATCTGCATAGCTGAATTATGGAAAATCCGTTATTAAAACCAAAACAACTTTTATGAATTTTAAATTTGCAGGCCTATCTTATCTATATGTTGGCAGAAGTGCATATGCCTGTTTTGCTGAAATTGAATGAAGCTGATTCTGTTTATTAGGCCATAAAACCAGAGTTTTGGGTTTCTATTTATTTACAGTCTTAATCTTTATGCTGCCAGTAAGTATGATAACTACATGACTTGTAGAATGTTCTACAAAATATATTCAAATTATTTTCAACAAGTCAAATGTTATTATTTTATTTACTTCTTCATGTTAGATTACAAGACCACTAAACTAATTAATTTGTTGTATAATAAATGAAAACTAAAGTGAAATAAACATAGCTGTGCCATCATAATGTTAAAGATGGAACAGCTGAATTATAAATTTGGTTACAATTGGCAGGTGAATTATAAAGGAAGGAGCTTACTCTGAAACAAAGTCTTGTTGCTTAAGTATATATGTTTATGTTCAGCATGTTATTCTCAAGAATTCAACCATGTATTTGTATCATGCAGTACAAAATGATACTTTTAAGTTTCTTTGAGAAAGTCTGTTCAGAAGTTCATTATTTGTATAAATATGCATGCTATGATAAACATTGTATGATATTTTTCAACACCCAACTCTAATTGCTTACTTTACTAATTAGATATTATGTGAACTCACCACAGAACATGGTAAGACCAAGATTTGAAAGTTCTATATGTATGTACACAGCTAAAATTAGTTAATATTGACCTACATATTTGTTAATGTCTATAGGTAAAATACTGAATGGCTGGGAACGAGCAGAAGCAAGTTCAGGAATTTCTTATTACCTAAAGTAAGTTTTAGAATTGTATATTTAACCTCATTGCTTTCTGTTACATTTTCTAGTGATATAGTAGAGATCATGTTATCTAACTAGAATGTGGATTCAGAACTGTGGAAACTACATAGTAACTTAATGTTAATTAACAAAGAAAAAAGATGTAAAAGTTACAGTAAGGAGATGTCATCAGCTTCATTTTGAAAAAGACTGGAATTTTCTCTCCTGTTCTACTAATATTTCAAAATTTTTGTCAACAGGTTTCAGATGTAAACCATTATATGCAAGTCATACAATCAGTGGCCTTCCAGGCAGTTTGTGTCACATCGTGTGTAGTTAGTCACACATTTATTCTTACATCAACTATCTTTCATTGTAAAGTATTTTGATCACTTATTGTCTCAAGGTGTACACTGTCAAATCAACTTCTGCATTTTTATGCTTTTTGGCAAATTGTATGTGTGTATTTAAATTGTAATTTTTATTGTTTCATTTTGTTATAGTCATGCAACAGAAACAACTCACTGGGATCATCCTGAGATGATGCCTATTTTGGAGAAACTGGAATCTTTCAATGACATCAAATATGTGGCATACCGAACTGCATCAAAGCTGAGAATGCTACAGAAAGAACTAGAGTGTATGATATTTTTGGGCAAAAATGTCATTTGTATCATATTTTTTAATTAAGCTATATATACAAGTATTTAAATATATCACTTGTATAGATTAAATGTTAAACCTCTTATAGATTATAGTTTTATTTCATATATCCATCTAAATCTTCTCATATATTTTCCAGCATGTTTAATCAGAATATGGCATGAAGTGAAAAACCTAAGTTTTTAAATTTTTTATAAAATAAGTGCAAGATATACATGTTGAATGGACACTAGAGAAAAATTGTCTTTAATAATATTTTATAATTCTGTTTTTATTATTGTTCTTCTAATGGTTTTTCTTTTGTATATCATACATTTTTTTTTCCTGATTTGTTTAGATGTTTTAGTGGTGACAGTTATATGTGAAGCTTACTACCTCAGTTCTAAGAATTTTTATTGATCAAATGAATATGTATCACATTACAGAGATTCCATTTGTTATTTAAATAGTATTTTAATTTACTTTGAGGCCTTTTACAGAGAGAGTATAATTTTGGAGACTATCAAAATTGTGTTGCATATTCCAGTACCATAAGGTATAATTTTGGAGACTATCAAAATTGTGTTGCGTATTCCAGAACCATAAGGTCAGATTTAGATTTTACATTATTGCAAAAATATAGGTGCTCTTAGTATGTGAATTAGTTTCGACATAGAGTTTCATGGTTATTTTTGGAGTTAAAATTCTTTTTAAATCGTAAAACTTTATAATAAAATACATTATTTTACAAGCAAAACAACAACAACAAATACAAACATTGGAACTACATAATAACCCATTAAACTTCAGTAAGCTGAAAAAAGTTTTACTTTGCTTGTTTTTTGTTTTAAGGCACATGTAATGTAAATAATATGCTAGAAAATATATTGATGCAAAATCCAGTTAGAATCAAAATTCATTAGTATAAAATATGTAGATACAATTGTAAAAATAAGTTCATTTTCACTAATTAAAACAAAATAAGCCACAAAGCTAACATTTCTTCTTTATGAATATTAATGGTTATAAAAAAATTTTGAGATCCTCTGAATGACAGTAAAAGTTAAGTGAAATATAATAATAATAGACAAATATTGGTTTAAAAAATAATAATGTGTTTCTAGTCCTTACCTTATAAATGTAACTTGTAAATGACTTAAATAATATTAATAATAATTACAGTTCATTTACTTAAATAGTGGCTAGACCACAACCAAGCCTATCTGATTAACCCTGGTATTTGGCAAAAGACCTAATCAGCACTAGATATGGCAGATGTAGTGTGATTGATGTATTATGATGTATTATTTGCTTTCACTTGTAAATTCTTAAAATATACTTTATATGTTGTTCATAATTTTTAAATATACATCATCAAAGATAAATCTGTGTAAAACCAGAAAAAAAAGACTAAATTTTACTATAAAACACACAGGAATGCGAACTACTGTTAGTAGAAAATGAATGGTGTCTTGCTGTGTTCCTACGTATTCACCTTTTGTTTTATAATTACAATAAAAATAAATTTTCACTTTCGTGAAAGATATCATGATGTAATTGCACAAACTTGAAAAATTCAGATAAGTTGAAAAAGGTGTACAAATCTTGGAAAGACTTGCACTCTAATATAAACCATGCTACTTAGCTGTTCCAGTTATTGGTATATTTCGACATAAGCTTGATCAGTCAATCTGTGGGATTTCACTTGCTGATAATTATGTAATTAATTATATTTAATTATAGGTTAATTTAAATGTTCTTTTAAAAATAAAAATGCAACATCCATCAAGTTTCAGTGAGGATATTTGATGATTTATTTTCTGTAACATCTTTATTGAGTATGTTCTGAAGTTTTTACTACCAATTTTAACCATATTATAAGGTAAAGTGGTGTTAGTTAGCTAGACTTATGAGGAAAGGTTAAAATATCAGTGTCATACATGTATGTGTGCAGGACTGAAAATTTTGAAATTTTTGCCTGTAAAGTTGGAAAATATTTTTGCAAGTATTGTGGCCATACGGGTTACTTACTGGGCTTCACTGAGCGTAGACTGATTAGGATTCATTCATTGATATGTATTTTTATGATGATGGTTTATTTTTCACATCTCTGATTGAAGGGTAATAAGCTCCCGCTTGAATTTCACACTGTCCTATTAAATAAGAGGAATATGGAAAAGAACTGGTCATATATAAATTCTGAAATGACTAACCTAAAGTCCCATTGTTAATTCCAACTGGAAATTTGAGGCATTAGTTGAAAGGTAATGCAATGAAAGGGAAACCATCTTGTCTGTAGCACCTTTTGGTGATTGTATAGCAAAAATGAACAGAAATACGAGATGGTAGCCTGAAACAAGTAGCATCTATTCCTGTCATAATTTATTTCATCATAGGGTTAAAGCCAGTGGAGGGCATAATAATTACTAATCAGTCATTTGTCTTCCAAAATTTACTTTTTTTTGTTTATGAAGTATTTTTATATTGCATATAGACTAATGTAAAATACCCATGCCCTGCTGAGGTGTTCAACAACCCTAGTGTTCCATCAAACTCCTTCATTATGACCATTTACTTCTATAGTGTGCCTCAGTGGTAGCGGGGTGGTCCATACCCCATAGTGACTGAGCATATGTGCCTAGTTTGGTTCCTCACCATTTGAGTGGGGGCATGAACACAGTTTCAAAAATGACGTTCTTAGGATCCTGATGGGGCCAGGAACACACAATTGGATGGTAGCTTTGAGTTCAGGTGACATTGCAAATTTACTCTTAGACCCCCACCATTCCTGGGTAACCTTCTGGGTGTGCTTTAGCCATTCATGGTATCCAAAAAAAATAAGGATAAAATGCTGTGTCATGTATACTGGATGGTGTCATTAAATTTCCTTAAGGCTTTGATTGAGTACCACCATGTTAGTGCTCTAACAAGATTTGAGTATTGCATCTGTATATCATAAACAGTCATGAGTTTCTGTTCTGTAAATATTAAATTTATACAGGTATACTTACAGTACTCTTCTAGGTAACTGTTTTTTTTTTGACATTATGATACAGTCATGACATTTTACAATAAAAGCTGTAGAAATAAGCTAGTCAACAATACTGTGATATATATACAGTAACTTGGAGGTGTTTTTAATTATACAAAGTACATTTTTAATGTTGTTTATAACTCCTAGTTATTAAAAGTGGATATTTTTTAGGCATTACTTTGTAGGAAATGAACAAGTTTGTAAAAGATCAGATTATAAATGTCTAATACATGATAACAAGCTATTAATGGAAGCTTATAGTTATTTAACTACACTTGTTGAAAACTCAAAATAATACCTGGTCCAAAAAAAGATTAATTAAACAATCGTTTTTTTTTGTTTTGTTTTTCAGAATAAAAGTTATGAAAAAGTCTTACTGTGTGCAGAGCAACATTAATTTAATTGGCATTAAAACTAAAATCAACAAAAACTGACTAATAGTACTCACTAATTTCTACTTATTAGTAACAATAACCATTTAAACAGCTGCATATCTGTTTCATGAATTGAGAAATGGTTGGTTTTTATAAAAATTGTGGTCTTCAGTTGGGCATTAATGCATTATTATTTTTTATACAATGACAAAGATTTTCTTTAGTTTTAGAACAAAATTTTTAAGTTTAAGTTGAATGACCATGAATAATACTTGGATGGTAGACATTTCTCTATTATAATTGTAAACCATTCACTTTTTGAACAACCACATTTTCTTTATTCCACTTCTACATTTTTTAGCCGTGGTATAGTGACTCATAGCTGTGAGTTTCTCAAGTACAAACTTTTAGCTCATAGCTCTGTCATCTCTTGACCAGTTTGAAATCTAATTACAGTTTTGTACTCAGGAGGTCAAACCCTTTCGATTGATGTATTTGACCATGCCCAAGGTCCTCATAGATTAATTTACTCTAATCCTACCTAAAAGAATTCAAATTTGAGGGTAGGCTAGTAGAGATCTTGATGAGTAATTAAATCAAATCATATATATACGTGCACCCCACACTTGGTATTGCTGATGCACAAAAATAGAGCTAATAAAAAGGAAAAAGGTTTAATAGATTAATTTACTCTAATCCTGTCTAAAAGAATTTCAAGTGCTTTGGCTATTGAGGATTTCCTCTTGTTTGTAGAATAAAAGCAATGAGGAGATAATGTGGTGATAGTTTATGTTGCAAAGGTTTTTATTCCCATTTACATGCCTTTCACTGAAATTCAAATACATCACCAGTCTTTGTCTATAGAGAATTTATTGAACTGTATATTAAGTTATAGTTCACTTAATAGTTGAATAGATTTTGATTGTTTTTGTTGTTGTTAATGTTGCTATGAAAAAAAATTGAGAATTGTAGTTTTTATATCTTGACACATCAAGAAGATTATATCCATGTAAACTGGATTTGATCTTTGTTTGTAGTATCAATGTTGAGACTGGGAAAGATCCACGGTATTTTTGAAGATCACGGGCTTAAGGGTTCACCCAATACAACTATTCTTAGAAGTTGCCAGCTGGAAAGTTTCCTGTATGATTTGTGCTTCTCTCTACAGAAAGAATCATCAGATAGGATTGACCCAGCTGTTCAAGCAGAACTCTTAGTGAACCTTCTGTTAAACATTTACAACTTGTAAGTTTTGCTACAGTCATGGTAGAAAGTTAATTCAGATTGTTAAAGGTTAAACCTTATTAGTGTCTCTATGATTCTTACTCTTGTAATAATGAATGATGTCTTTTGTGCTTCAATAATAGCAGATTGTTTTCCATTAACAATACTACATGTTGATAATAACTAGAAATATTTAGAGGTGGCACTTTTGTTTTTCTTAACAAGTTATCCATTATTATACATTTAAGCATGAAGTAAGGCAAGAAATCTTAGGAGGTTACTGAAATATATATTTAGATTTGAAGGCAGTGTGTGTGATAATAAATTCAAATTAATTTATTTTTAACTTACTAATATATATATACTGTACATATTTAAAACAAATTTAAAAAGATTTCAATTGTTCTTTGTAAAACTCAAAATGTTTGTGTAATAGTGTGTTTGTTGCCTTTTTTTGTGCTAAACTTAAAATGAATTTTCCACATGTGTGTAACAGTAATAAAAAAACATTTTATTGTTTGAAAATATAAATCTTGTTTGTTTGGATGGCTACACATGTGTGACTTGTTCTTAGAAAAAGAACCGAGGGAGTGGCATTGGGATCAGTGAAAGTGGGAATTTGCGTTTTGTGTGCTGGACGTTTGCAGGACAAACATAAATGTAAGCACAGTTTGTTTTTTATTTGGTGCTTGTACTTAACCTTTCACATTAGTTATCAGCTGCAAAGCACACAGTTATGTGTTTTAACCTTTCTTAATAATTTATCTAACCTGTTGTTTTACAGATTTTTTTCAACAGTTCCAAGAAAATGGATATCTTAGCAGAAGAAATTTATTTTTCTTACTACAGAACTTAGCAAAGGTAAATTATTTTAATTTTAATACATTGCTATACATCAAACCTAATTATGCAATAATCACTTTTCCTTACTTCTCAATTCTTGCAACAATATTCTCATTAGTGGTTAACAATAAATTTAGAATAGTATCCACTCTGATTGGCTCTCTGCCCATTTTGTATATAAAACTAGCTTGAAATACTCAAGAAGTTTCTCTTCCTTCACTGTTTAACTTCATCTAATCCCAGTTAATGTGTTTGAAACTTAAGTTTCCCATAATTATTACATCAGTGTTTATGTTCTTAGCAATTCTGATCTCATTTCTCATTAACAAAAGTAATACAAAAATTTTGAAAAAAAATTAGGATGATGTAGGGATGGCAATGCTAAAAAGTACAGAAACAAGGTAGGGATGGATACACAAAACCATACAGAAATCCCTACATAAGTAGCCAAATCTTTTCAAGAAAAACTTTTATCTACGACTAAATGTTGAATTCCTTTCTTTTGCATGAATTCAGGTTTGAATAAAAGCACTTAAACTGAATAATGTTATGAAGTCTTACAATGGTTAATTCCCATAAGCTTGTAACATTGACTCAATGGCTACTTGTGTAGGAATTTTTGTATAGTTTTGTGTATTCATCCCCATCTTTTTTTGTACTTTTTGCCATTGCTATATCACCCTTATTTTTTTCAAAATGTTTTTTATTACTTGTTTCTTTTTTTAAGGAATAGCAGATGCTAAGAAGGCAGCAGTTTTAGCCTGGTGTGATGAGTTGTATTGATAGACATCGTGTGTTGAAGTTAGTGAAATGCTATACTGCTTCTGCACTCTCCAAGTTAAAATGCAACATTTTTGTGTGTAAATCATCACAACAACTTCAAACGTTGGTGAGCTAGCCATTGTGACGTCAGAATCAGAATAATCAGCAGAACATTTGGCTGTTAAGCTACTTGATGAGCTCTACTTCAGCAATGTTTTTTGGCTAAGCTGAAGGTCTTAATAGGTTTTGAATACCTAAATTAGGTGTTTATACATTGTTCCAAGAAAGATTTGAGACTATGATGAGCAATACATAATATGTGATGCCCATTTTTCCCCCGGCCCATCCCTACATACTAAGCACTACCATGCTTAGCGATTATGTCTGTGGTCAGTCACCTATAGTGATAGCCAATTACAATATTTTCAACTTTTCAAACTCCTGTCAGCTTGTTCAGTAACAAGTGGCATATGGCAAAATTGCCACCTATTATTAAGATGTCAATATGTCATGGGCTTTGGGACCCAGATGTTTTTCCTTTGGGGGCACCATAGATATTGCTTTTTATGTGTTGGTATTATTTCACTTTCTCTACAAATGTTTCAACAAGTATTTCCAGTTTTTATCTGTGAAATACATTCCCAAAAGTATGATGTAAAATTGTCAGTGTAACATTATCTAACATGTATAAAAGCCAGTTGTCTTTTGGTATATGTTCCATTTGTCTGTGTTGTTTAGCAACAAAACTATATATATGTATATATATTAGATTTGAATATAAAAACACAAAAAAATATCTCGACTGTATAGGTCACATCAGCTTACATGGGTAATAATTATCTTAAATATATAGGTCACTTCAGCTTGCAAGAGTAATAATTATCTTAACTGTGTAGGTCACATCAACTTACAGGGGCAACAATCAGCCTAACTTGTATAGGTCACATCAGATTACAGGGACATAAACTATCTTAACTGTAGGTCACATCAGCTTACAGGGACATAAACTATCTTAACTTTATCAGCACGGGTTTGTTCCCTGGGACCGACTTTGTAACCATTTGGTGCTTTTTATAGTTTTCATATTTATAACTTTTAAATTAGTAAGCGAATGTTAACGAAATTTGGCAGATTATTAGTAAACATTACAATGCTTTCATACACAAAATATCAAA